TAGCATGGGCAAGGTCCTGGTTTTGATCCACAGCATCACAAAAAAAAAAAAAAAAGTAATTTCAGAAACACTGAAAAACACAGGATGTGTGCAAGACAATGTTTGTATAAAGATATTTACTGAGTATGTGTATTCATTAGAGAAGTCAAGGACTAGAGAGACTGGGAAATCACTGCTACATATCCCAAATTCCTAGTATCAGGTGCTTCAAATTAATAGGAAAATCCTGTATTTTAAAGTTGACCATGAAAACATACTTCACAGTGGAAAAAGCCAACTATTATTATGAATTAAGTGGGAGCTATGTAACCATGATAAATGAAATTCAGGTTCTAATAAAATGCAATACACTGACATAAAAACTATGGATATTCTTGCTCCTTTTTCTGTCTTGAGCTGTAGTCAGTGTTTTTAATTGATTTCCACGCATGATGACAGAGAATGCCAACAAAAGAAAAAGGTTAGGATGATGTACCCAGGGTGAGATCCTTTCTTCCACTGTTTACCCACTATTGGGAGACAAAGTGCTATTTATTTCTACATGTGAAGACTTCCTATAAAAGTCATGAATTTATAAACTGAGATGATCTGACAAAAAAATTCTGCTTTTAATATATATTGTCTAGGAAACCTAAGTTTTTAAGGTTCTACTTAGTTCACCACAAAAAGTTTTAAAGCCAACATTTTGTTATTATGTGAGCATCAGGATGAAATCAATCTGTAACCTATAAAGACCTACACAACTCAAAAATCTGAAACAACTGTAGAAAATTATTTAAATAGGTTTTCCTTTTTTAAATAAAGTGACTACAAAATCTTTGTAGCGCTAACCTTATTTTTCATTTCACCTGGGTTCTATCCCATCACTGCATTAAAACATATTTAAAAAAAGAAGTTTAAGCCCTCAGGCTGCTGAAGATTCAAAATATGCCTGAAAGTTTATCTACAAAGGAAATTTACATGACGCAAGTACTTCTGTGACGTTCAGTGATAATAGCATCAATGAATGTTTTTACAGATTCTAAATAATTGATATTAAAGAGTAAAGAACCAAGAGTAGTCTTGAGAAGACTGATGTCAATGCAGAAAAATTAAATTGAGAGCCATGATGGTAGCAGCCATTAAACCAGCCTTTCTTCATTTCAATGAGATAGGCTTCTCCTTTGGGAGGACAAAATATGGGTGCCAGACACAGTTTACTTTCAAGTTATCAAAACAACCCTGACAGTTGAAAATGTTTAGAATAGACTATTTGGTCTTTAGATTGTCAAATGCTATACAAACAATTTTCTGGAGTTATGACAAACACCTTGCCTATTGAAGAATTTGTCAAGTTTGATGAATTTCAGCATAGCTTTCCCTACTCTAACCAAATTCAGTGCTTAGATTTATTCCCCTGCACTCTTTCCAAAACTAAAAGGATCATATGGCTAAATCAGCTCATCCTA